AAAAAAAAAAAGGTTTTAAGTGTAGTAAATAAGTTATTTAAGGTTAATTTAGTTTCGTTATTTAGTAGCCTTCTAGTAAAATATTGAAATGAATATTAATAATTCAGTATTATACAAAAATGATTCAAAAGAAAATTATGTAAAACTTTATGAATTTATTATGATTAAGTATTTAAAATTTAAATTGTTCCAAGTTAATGTGACACAGTATTATTAACGTTACCGTTTACTAAATAAATGTCAAAATGTTAAAATCTACTTATCTACATACTGTGAGTTTCGTATTTCTCAACAACATTTTAATATATCATATATTTACCCTCAGAGTGGCTATATCTTGAAACTCGTCGCAGTCCATGAGGTTCTTGATCATGTTCACCGTAGCTTCGATCGAAAACGTACGGTCCCTCGACGAACTCACAGCGTTGTCTAGCCGTTGTCTGAGATAAACGACCTGTAGGAGGCAATGACGATAAACATAAGATTATTATACAATCACATAAATTTAACACTTTGGCTTAACATTTAAAATGTATAAGTTACCTCGCTGGGATTCGTCAGTGCAGTCTTTAATATGGTTCCGTTGACCAGAGTCGACATGGACGAGGAATTGTTATCCTGGTTTTCTGTTTTAATTGTGGTCATGGTACTGGCCGTTGTGCATGCGACGGACTTCTCCATTTTGACTTGTCCGTTCTTCGGGGGCCTCTTCTTCTTATATTTTACCTATAATGCGAGTGATTTGGTATAATGTCATTCAAGTAAGCGTATAATATATAAACAATAATAATGTAGTTAAATTTCTTAAATCTTCATTAAAGCAAAATAAAAAATTTCTAAACACAAAATTCCTATTAACATCCCTAATAATTAATAACAATTAATGTATAATAATATAAGACAGTGTACCATTAGTACTTTTACTATAACCAATGACGAGGCATAGCCATTAAAATGAGTTAAGTAGTGATATTTTTTTCAAGTCATTAGAATATTAATAATAAATTTAATAAAAACAAATTTCGTGATTTTTCATAGTTTTAATAATTTAATAACATAGTACCTAAAATTACAATATTAATCAAATTAAGGACATTGATCATGGAACAGAATCAAATGTACTTACAAACGTTATATACTTATATAGCATAATCCTCCCCCCTGAACACTGGGACATACAAAAACAAATCAACACTAATAAGCTAATTACCTTGTATAAGTTGTATACAGCGCCAGAATTTCGTCCACCGGGCATCCTATCTTCTCGGACGGCTATATTATAGAAACACGACAAAATAAAATATTATTATTGTATTATTTTCGCTTCATTATTTTTTAAAATAATGTCTTCAATTTTGCTAGTATAGTTAAATGATGCTCTCGACACAATTCGCTTACCCTGCAACACCATTCCTTGACCGATGCATTTCTTAAACCGGCAGTATTGACACCGGTTTCTTTGAGCTTTTGTTATTTCACATGTGCCTTCAGCTATACACGTGTATATCCTCCGGTTTTGGACGGTACGTTTGAAGAACCCCTTGCATCTGTTTAGACATAAGAAAAACGTTAAACATTTGTCGGATAAAAAAAAAATAATAATAATAAATACTATAAGTGTTGTATTCTTTTACGTTAGTGTTAACGACTCCTGTGTCGGATGAATGGAAATAACGTGCACGTAATACCATTATTATACTATAACCTTGTAGTAAAAAAAAGTCGTTGTCCTTGAGGGAGACGAGGCGTACCGTTAAGAGTTATACAGTTACTGCGACGACGAAACGTACGTTTAATGTATATACACCGCACTATGGATACATTTGCGACATTGCGCTGTCGCTGTGCCGTGTGTTTTTCCCGCAGGCCAGAAAAATACGCGCTTTAACCCAATTTGGAAGAGACGTAATTTGGAATCAAAATCTTAGAAATTAATATAGGTATGTGATAGTCGTACACGACACTAAATCTGAGCGACGTGACGTCATTAAAAAGCAGACACGTTACGAAAGATACGCGCACAATACCCACCTCATATTTATTGCAAAATGTGGTGGAGGGTGGTATTTAATTCTATCTCAAATGCACCTAAGCTCTTAATAATTTAAACATCTTATATTTTTTTTAAATTAAATATCCACACTGAAAATACTTAATGTATAGGTTTTTTTTATTTATTGAAATAGCATCAAGAAGTATATTACCGTTGCGGGTGTTTTCATTTCGACTAACCCTTATCAGTAGTTATAATAATATATAACTGTTCGCAAGCAAAAACTCGTCAACCAACTATTTGTGTGGCTTTACTCTCACACTGTATTTACCACGACTTTCGCAAATGTTAGTTGGATATAGATCATATAACATTACATGCTAGTAAACCCGAGAAAAACAAAACAGCTGTTGTGTTCAATGCTATAATACGTACCCTTCGCAAGTGATAATGCCGTAATGGAGACCCGTGGCTCGGTCATCACAGATCATACACACCATGGGTTGTTCCTGTTCGTCAGCCTCCTCCATCTGGTGGTATGCGTTGACAGGTGCAGACTTGTTGTCGCCATTGGAACCGGCCATCGGCCATCCGGGTCCCGTGTTGGCCGTCAGGTTGAGCGCGTGCATCTGATGCGTAGCGGCCACCGGGAGTTGGGACAGATCACCGGCCCACAGCCGTTCCATATTGAGCGGCACGTGAAAGCTCTGCTGTCCACCGCCGGTGACGTTGCCGCCACCTCCACCACCACCACTTCCACCACCAGCCACTGACGTCTGCTGCATCTGACTACCAATGGGCCTGAGACCGGGCATGTGGCTGATGACAGACGCCACATCGTGGCCAGCAGCCACGCCAAGGTTCAGCAACAGATGCGCGGCTGACTCTTCACTGACTGCCGGTGACGGGGACGGGGATGAAGTGGACGACGTGTTCGACGACCACGTGGCCGCGGACGACCAGTACGGCGTGCTGACCGTTGATGGTACGGAACCGCAGCCCGTGCTAGCGGGCGACGTTGACTGTTCCACGGTGGAGGGTGGACTGGACCAGATCATGGTCCGCACTCCGCCTGCGAAACACAATTATCTTCGAATTACAACACTGTTATTGAACACATGTCGTATGATTGATCACTTTGGCTGTTATTATTATTAAAAAGTAGAAAATATGCTTTCCGTGCACTAAATTTCGGGCCAACAAAAAATCGTCTACTCCTCCAAATTATTACACAGGTACCTACGTTTTAAACGGTAATATGCATTTTAATGACTTACCCGCTTCGCCCATTATGACAGTGGGTGCAGACCGAGTGGTCCGTGGGGGTATGGCAGCCGGTGGTTTCATGTCAGTGTTGCCGGCGGAGACCGCAGCCGTAGTCGCGAATCCGGCACCACCAATGAGTTCAGGTCGGACGCCGTTGATGCGACACACGGACAGCACGGACGCTGCGGCGGCGGTGGCCACGGATGCGTTACCGGGCGCGGTGGACGCGGGCGAAGTCTGCGTGCCCGCGTTCCAAAACGCTGATGACACGGAGGTGACAACGGATTGCCGACGCTGCTGGTACTGCTGCGTCACCGACATGGAGTTGGCGGCGGAGGAGGGTGTGTAACACCGCAGCGGAGGTGGATTCGTTTGAGCAGTCGCCGTCGTCCAAGTCAAAGGTGGCGACAACGACGACGACGATGGTGGTGGTGGGGTTGATGGTGACTTGACAACGCAACTTAACGGGCTGGTCATCACCACCGACTCGCGTCTCTGCTGCTGTTGCTCCTGTTGCGCTGCTGCCGTCGCCGCCGCCAACGCCGCTGTGACCACCGCCGAAGGTGATGGCGACGGCGACGGTGGTTCCGTCTTGTTATCGGCCACCGTCCCGTTTTCGTATCCCGTTCCGATCGCATCTTTTGGTTGCTGATCGTCCATCATCTCCTCTTTCACCTTAACGCCATCTCCCACGTCATTCGGGTCTTGCCCGCTGTCCGTGGTCATGCTGCCGCATTCCGGAGACGAAGCCATTCTGTATACACACACGCACGAGACGAATTAAAACGACTGTGTAGTATATTACGTCCACAAATAATATTGAGTAATGGACATCGGCGCTTAGATGAGATATTTTTATTTAATGGTATAGAGTACTAAAAAGGTAAATAAATGACCTAAAGCTGTAAACCTTCCTGTATCGGAGTTGTATTTGGAAACTGTGGGCATTGATCAAAGTGCGTTAATCATGAATGAGCATAATGAAAACAGAAAAATTTAAATACTAAAAGATAAACATAAAAATGTTTAATTTTGTAATCAAACTAGTACTTGAAAGAGATTTTTCCATGCAGAACTAATTTTTCTGACGAAAACATAAACCGATATTATTTTGTCTTTATACCATTGTACCGATACAATTATTAATGTGATAAATAAATTTATTTGAAATAAAAACATAGAATTTGGACTAAACACTATAACTGTAGTTACAATCCCGTGATTTTGTTGAAAAACGAGATATTTGTCTGTGGTTGCAAAATCTCTTGTAAAGCACAATCGGACGCCTCAGTTTCTTAATACCCTATCCGGTATGTCACCATAAATCGTACCTATCCATCGATATGATAAGTCCAGGCGATGGTACCGATCTGTCCATTCGGTTAGATGGGGACGCCGGGCCAGCGACGTCTGGCGATGAAGTACTAGTGTCCGCTATGCTCTCACCTGTCCAAACAAATACAAACAAAGATATTTAAAATTAGTATTGTTAATAAGAAGTACCTATTTATGAATGTTTATATTTATGGATGTACACCATTATACCAATATTGTTGTTCGTATAGTTCCGTGCATACCTATAGGCCCTCAAAAGAAATGTATAGGTATAGTTACTGCACTAGTGCAGTTTAGGACAGATAAGATAAACGAAGTTTATTAAATCGTTACGACTACTCCTTATTAGGTCACGCACTCATGGAGCCGCATACGCAGAGAATTATAATACAGTAACATTATAAACAGAAATGTATTTTGTCGAACCACTGAATGATGTGATTTTTAAACAAAGTACCTATAAAATAATATAATAGGTACCTATATGACCATATATATAATAATTATATATATATTATATACATACAATATATTATGTCCTATAAACGCGTAAGTCAGGAGAATGACAGGTATATAAGTGACAAACAAGTGTGAAATCGTTAGAAAAAAATCGAAAACATTTGGTTTCGGTTTTAGAAATAGGCGTGTACCTTTATATATAATAATATAGTTATTATTGTCGTCAACGATTATCTGTCAATTATACAATAATATAGGTCGTCTGATTCTTGGGGAAAAAAATCAACGATATATGTATACAATAATTCTGATATTATATGAAAAGAAATAAAAACGACACTACGGAATTGGGTCAGGTCAGTTCCCATGAGTCCTATCGGTGCAGCCACGTGGGCGAAAACCCCGCGTGCTGCACAAAAAACAACCGTGACAAACCCGTGATTAGGGGTTGCAATGCAGATAGGTTCCCATGACCTTAGGCACAATGAAAACCGGCCGGTGTCCAACTATTATGGACGGCTTGGACTTATTTATTGCCATGTATTGTAGTATTTTATAGTACCTAATGCGCGTTATTGCGGCTACTATTTACTACATAAGTTTTCTTCCCCGATAATAAATTACGGTAACTCGTAAAGAATCATCATAATACGGATGGGTTCAGTGTCAAAACAACAAAAATGTCGTATCTGGGATGTCGATTTGTTTCGGTCACTGGGTTAAGTATTTCGTTCCAACAGCTTGTAGCTAGGGTCAATTTCGATTAATAAGTATATACTATAAATACGTCTTGTTGTTACGGTTTGACGACGAAGAAATGATCAAAACTAGTACTCGCTGTGATGTTATTATACATAAATATTATAATATATACTGTATACAAACAGGATACAATGGTAAATATTTAGTTTTTAACATGCCTATATTTCTGATCTTATAAAAAATGAGACTTCTGAATGACTGAATACGTGTGTCTGTAAGTCTTTATAGCAATGCTATAATATTGTCAAATATATTATCTAAGGTGAAATAACTGAATTGATTGTTTAAAATGTCTAAATGGACTATGTTAAATAATTAAAAATGGATGGAAAAAAATCGTAGAATAGGTATTATTAAAAGTTCTGATTAAAACTATGTGAACAAATAAATTAGGTGAATCATACTTTAAAATCAACTGAAAATAACATTAGATATAAATTGTTAAATGAAAACAATACATACTCTATTAAACCACCTTAAATCATGAATTGGAATTAATGTAAGTATTTAAATAAACCTATGATATAGGCGGTTAAAATGTTTAAAATTGTGTATATCATTATGCACAAAACTTAACAGTTTGTCAATTTATGTTTAAGAAGAAATTGGTGGGGGTCTGTGGAAATATTATACTCATTTTAAGGGTTATATGCAAATATAGTTTATCAATCATTATATTTCTTTAATAAGTAGACACAAATAAATAGTATCTGATAGTGGCTGATACCAAATGCTTACAGGAATAATATATAAGCTAAGCATTTAATACAATAGGAATATATTTATATTTTTACAGTAGTCAAATAAGTAATTATATTGGTGCCTTTGTATGGTACATTTTCCTGAGTTCAAAATATTAGTTAATATCCCATTGTCACAACTAATTTAATTGACTTAAGAGTTAGTCAAATTATATTTTTTATAAGAAGTAAGAACCACAGAATGTTAATGTACATATTAATAGTTTTTTTTATCTATTATCATTTATCAGTTATCACGATAGAGCCAAATCAAAACAAAAATCAATTTTATCTGATTTGTATGAGATTTTTTGCAAACTGAAATAGCTAGCTTTTTAATTGATACTAGTTATAAAACAAACCTAACTTATACTTATTCAAAATTACCAAAGTAAAAATTAAAATATCGTCAACCAAAAACATTTGGTTGATTATAATAGTTATAAATACATAATACTATTGTTATAGGTATTATAGGTACAAACAAAATCTTACCGTCACTGCTGCACCTTGAATCTATTTTGCGCCTCTTCAGTTTCAGGTCTTGAAACAGACTCATGGTACTCAGGTCACACGGGGTACTTGTTAGGGTCATAATTCCTGTTCAACAGACAATATTTCGTTGCAATTAAAATTTGGCGAAAACAAAACGGTTAATTTATTGTATAATAATAATAGCGTGTTGGAAATATTTTTGCGAACTATACGATTTTTTACTATACACGCAAACACAAAAACACGTTTAAAAAAATTTTAGCAAAATACCTATACCTATGTAATATGTATTAGTATATTACATAAACGATATAAACAATTACCTCGCTTAATGTAAAAAATATTATTCGTCGATATGTGCGCGTGCAAGTCCGATCATTTAAAACGTGATGCGGCGGAGAGTAAAAAAATCTGCCCCGTAACACATGATAATAATTGCTACTATATTCGCATCGTCACAGAAAGTAAAAAAAAAATTCAATCATAATATCTCGTCGATGAGAGTGCTGCGGCGTCGTACATGGGAGAAAATCCTATCTAACGTTTATATTGTAATACAACCGACACCGTGCGGCGCGTTCGGTCATCAAGCGAATACTGTCACTTTCTCTTCAATCTTTTGTCGCACGCGAGCTACACGAGCACGCCCCGTAGCGCACAACACCCGCGTCACGCGGCATCTATCTCTCAGCGACCGCGAACACGGGGTAACGCCCAGCCACCGCGATTGTTTAACACCGAAAATGTTTTAAAAATATATTTTCGGGTAAAACCGAAAACATTTCTACAGCGACTCGAAACGAATGTACGATCGAGGGAATTTTTTTCTCCCAAAGTTTTCGGACTTTTGAGTTACGGCGGTGGCTACAACGATAGCGGCACCGGCGTACAATCGATGACGATTGGTTCGAGAATGATCGAGCCGCTGTTTGCGGCGGCGGCGGCGGCGGCGGCGGCGGAGAAAAGCGAGAAAGACGAAATAGAAAAAAAAAATGTGTACCTATGTATAAAACGAACGTACACACGCGGCGGAGGCTTGTGCAATCTCTGTCTGTTTAATGCAAAACGAACGGTTTTTTTTTCTGGTGGGACTTTCGGCCGCCAATGGTAGATGAGGCCACTGCCGCCGAACGACGACGGTCGGAGAGCGTGTGCGTGTGTGTGTGCGTGTGAGCGCTTGTTTGTGTATCGCATGAAGGTTATAAGTGGGGCCTCCGCTGCCGCCGGTGTAAACGAAGAGGGAAGAGGTCGGTAACCTGCGCTGCGGTAAGTAGGTCAGCGCCGTGCGAGTTCGCCCACCCGTTCGGCGGCGGCTACGCTACCGACACCACCGTCGCCGTATATTTAAACATCGTCAAAACACACGCACTGTGCTATACTCACTTATACGCCTTTTGTACTCCACTTCATCTTTCCCCGGGAAAACAAACATCATCATCCCCCGCGAGACTTCTCGATTTTCCTCACCACCGAGCGTCAGCAGCGCGAAAGTGTGCACATACAACACACGTGGGCGCACGCGCACACCCCGAACACCGTTGTCGGTCGTCTGTCCCAAAGTCACCCCAAATTACAGTGGGTAAGGGAATTAGCGATATTTTGTAAACGGTCGCGTTCCAAGAGCTTGGGAGTTTTCATTTCGATTTTCGACTGGTCTCGTTAACTCCTCACGATTAAACGATATTTTATTTTATTTTATTTCTCTAACACAAATATTTGACACGATAATCAAATCATTGTTGTTAGTTATTATTATTTAATATTTACTATTACCGAAACACTTCGTCGATTGCATATAATAATAAAATGACTCACAACGATAAATATGAAGGTAAAATAATCGTGCAAACGTTTTTTGGTAGTCGTGTTTTTATCTCTTCGATTTTTCATTTTTTTGCGTAACAATTTTACTGTAGAGGAAGAACAGATGAACTATTGGGCTTGTTATTATTATTATTATTATTGTCTTTTACCAAACCGGATTGCCAGACAGAGCGAATTTCGTTTTGTTTTTTTTGTTTATGTAACACTCATCTTACTCGTTGCAGGTTACATCTTTCACAGGTATACGTGTAACCGTGTAAGAACCTAACCCATTTATAGGAATAACATAATATTCATCGTCGACGTAACGATATCATATCATATCTATATACAATCTGCATGCTGTACATATACAATAATAAGTTGATCTCTAAAAGTCTAGAATAAATAAATTAGATCTATTTATCCAAGCATTGATTTTTTCTAAGATGTATATTTATTACTAAAACATGCTGAAAAATATAACTCTGTATTATTACATTTTGGCCAAGTTGAGTAAATAAATAAAATACATTCAATATGCAAAATGTATATAAAATCCGAGACCTACGTTTTACGAGTACCTACAAATAATAAATAAATATTGCGAGCTATATTATACCAATTTAATATGTCTATGCCCTGTATGGACTGCGGCGGCAAGAATTAAATGGAAAAATATAATGCCTACGTTTGAATGTCGCGCTATGAGCGCAACGCGTGATAGATATTTCGGCTTTTGTCTGTATGCACATACGTTTCTATATATGTATAGTATATAATATATATACCTATAGGCGTGTGTGTGTGTGTGTGTGTGTGTGTGTGTGTGAGCGTGTGTGTATAAATATGAGTACGTGTGTTGCCGTACACAACAAAGGGGCTGTTAGTTTTGGCTGCAGAATAATTTCTGTATTGTTGGCGTTCGAAAATTTCTTTTCGTGACAGCCGACGCGAAAAAGGAAAGGGCTTTAAAAAATAAACACGATCGTATATAATATAGGTTTATGCTCCACGATACATTCGATCTTAATAATGATTGTACACGACACAGCCAACGTTTTATTTCCAGGCATTCTTTACGCGCCGAACCGTATCGAGTCTTGGAGGTTTTGTTTTGTCCGAACGTCCTTCTATCGAATTACGTCCTTTACGTACAGTTAGGTACGGCGTAAATCGCGATATATGCGCAAATTATATAGATTATCTGATTATTGTATGTAGCTAGTAACTTAAGTTATCATCGTTGTATGCGTTTCCCTTGTCTTAGGACTAAGGGAAACACACAAAAAGAAAAAATAACGATAACGCCACGCAGTTCGCTACAAAGCTGATAGTCAACGAAATTGCATCGTGTAAATCGTAATATCGTACCTATATTATAATCATGTTGTTATACAAGTGTTGTCGGATCATTAGCCGCGACGCAACGCAGAAAACACAATAACCGATATAATATTATAATATGTAGGTCGAATTTGTTTTTCAAACGTTATATCTAACATGTGACGTCATTTCGAATCCCGGATTCGCTTGTACGCGATTATTATTATTATCATCGTTGAATAAAACCTTACCAAACCCCAGTACTGGCGTGTGTCGGGTACCTATATATATATACCATATTTGTATGTATAGATATGCAACTGGTATTAGAATCTTAAAAGAGGGGGGAGCCAGAAAAGACTAATGTTAATTTTTAACGTTTTGTCGATTAGGAGGTATTAATTACACTTCTTTCAATTTAAAAAATATAAACTTGATACGAATGTATATGACTTTGGCAAGCCCTAATTACTTATTAATTGTTTGCCTATATTATGAAGGTATACATCATATTATTATAATACTGATTACTACAGAGTGATTTATTTAACAGAAATAGTAATAATAATAGTAATAGTAAATACTTCATTACCTCAAGAAGTATTTATGTTCTTCAAAATAATTTTTTTACCCTACAAAAACCATTTTTGAAAAAGGTGTATTCATATACCCACTTTTTGAGACAATGGGTGTGTAACGTTATACTCATCTTGTATATAGTTTAAGCTTTTTAATCGGTATCAATAAAAATGATCGCTGTACAGCGTTGATCAAACGGTTGTGGAAATGTAGTTGATATATCCAACAAATAACCTTTATTTTCAATATTATATGACTAATAGTTTTATAATATAAAAATAATGTACCTAAATAATAATTTTTTTCTATAATCATTAATTTGATATAACTATTCACAATTTTCGATATCAAAATTATTTTTATTCTGATAAGTGATAAAAAAAATAGCAACACACAATAAGATCTTCAATTTTTTTTATGTTCAAATGTTCAAAGTGCAAAAAAATTAGTCTTATACTCCCTCCCGACACAAAATCATTTGACCACCACAATCGCTGTATTATATTGTAACGACTAACGTGTGTAATGTGAATATTATAATATCATTGCGATAATAGATATCATACAAATGGCAATAAAATACAACTCATAGTAACAATAATATTGTAATGCAAGTAGCTAGTCCAACATAATCGTTTGGTCGGTGGGTAACTATAAAACGCGACGGTAATATTTGTCGTTCTTTCGCAACTTGAATTGAGCGGTCTTATTTTTCAATTATTTGTTCGGCGTTTGTTTTTAATTCTCCCTCTATCTCTCTCTACAGTTACACCAATCAAGTTCACGTCCACGAATATAGTTACAGATATTATTATTATTTTATTCCGTGCCTATTACAAGTAATGTCAGCGGTGGTATCAAATGTAAAAATGCGACACAAGCCAAGAGCCGATCGTACGAAAATAGAATGGTTCTTGGAAGATAATTCTACTGTGCACGGCGGTAGACATGGGACTTTTTTCGGCCAACAACTGTGACATACATTCGCCGTGGTTTTAACACAATATATTCCCCGACAATAACTGACATAATAATATACTCAGCCACAATATATTATATACTCACGCAATACATATACTATATGCATTATACATATGTTTCCTATGACTGTTACACCGCGGCCCGGATGTAATTCCGGCATCCGGCTTACGCATCTATCCTATACAATAACTATATCCAACAAGACGATTAAAAAAAAAATTGTAGGTACGTCAAATTCGAGTCATGGGTTATCGTTTGGAAACGTTTGACAATCAGGACACTCGATTTGAAAATCAACAATATTGTTGCAACCATCAAGGTCTACTAAAACGGAATAATAAAAAAAACATTTTTTTATCCGCTTTTCTGACACATTTGTAGAACATCAACAATACTCGATATCGATTGTTATAATTATGTTTTGCAAAAAAATAATCATTAAATCGTCATCATTGTTGTCACAAAAGATGACCGACCCAAGTTTAGCGTTAAAATTCGCTCACGTAGCATTACCCAATATATATTATTATTATAAACCGTTTTATATTTTTGGCACAGCGAATATCCTGTATGCAATAGTATAATATACGACACACAGCACTATCACAGTCGTCGTACACTCGAACCTAACTAGTAACTATATCAGCTTATTACCTATACCTAGGTGACGATAAATACATGTCAAATAATGCGAACTGGAATACGAATTGTGTTCCGGAATTATGGACGGGTTAACGTTAAATGTGTTGTTCCGGCAAATACATAGGGCTTTGTAATTACATTATTTTTTCGGCACATTTATTTCATTATAAGATAAACAAATTAAATACATTATTATGTTGTTAAGCAACGTTCTTCACGTTACGTTCAACGTTTTAGTCCGGTTTGAGAGATAAGAGGAAAATAAAATAGAATAACCGGCTGCCTATATCATTGGAAACGAGTTCAAGGCAAAACGGGCGGCAAAAACCTCGCACCCGTTGTCGGCCGGCCAACGACCCGGCGACCGAGATCTCGGTTAGTGCAAAGGTCGTTTCATGAGATATTTTCGTCCCCACTTCCATTCAGAACCATTTGGTAATATAATAAATAATAATCAATGGCCATAATTAGTTTGGCCGTCATCTTCCAAACGATTTGTACTTGTGAAAGATTCCCATTATACACTATATGTATATAATATATATATTGTAAATGTACACTATAATATACGCGTACGTATTAATATT